TACATTTTATAATCATTTTTAGGAATTCCTTCTCAGGCATTTCCAAAGCCTGTCCATCTTCCAGTATGGAGTGTAGGTCTCCTTCCAGCTCATTTACCTCAGTCACTTTATCTCGTTTCTGGACATGTGCAGATACCGTCATCTGCTTCTGTTTTTTGGGCATCTTCAGGGGTTATCTGTGGACTTAATACTTAGATAGGTGTATATTTTGGTATTTTTTTTATGCTTTCTGATTGCCTCCGGTTAGATGTGATCAGGAAGTGGGCGTTTCACTCTTGACAAATTTCAAAACGACCACTGTTGGTCGTGTTGATATAACTTAGGATTTAATTTTCGGCCTATTTCCTCTTTTGTCTGCTTGTCCCACTTCAGAATCCCCATTCAGGCCCTTTTTCTAGTTAAAAACCGTTCAGGATTGGCTGTGGCCATTTGGTTTTAATTGGAAACTGTCTCTTTAAATTTTGAGGAGATCTGTGAGCATGTGTAGTAGAACCCTCTGAGCTCAGGCACCCCTATAGTCACCAGAATGGAGGTGCGCAGACAGCAAGGGACCAATGAACAGATACCAAAAGAAAAGAATGTCCACACCTTTATCTCAGCGGTTCTGCCAGGCGTCTGTGGCCTCTCCGATCCTTCCCCCATGTGGTCTCACCCAAGGTGGTGGCTCCTGGAGCAGCCGAGCGTCCTGGACTAGAAAGCAATAGATTTCTTGCTTCTGCCACAAATTTCCCCAGCTGTGAGCCTTCCAGCCTTCTAAATATTCCTTTATATGTGGTTCAGAGTTCTGGGACCATCCCCTGAGCCTGCTTGGTCCTGTATTCTGTGTTGTTGCTGGCAGAGCTCCTTATTGCACGTCCACCTGATCCGCCATCTTGTTAGTTTCTTAACTATTGCAGTGCGGTCCCGTGTGCTGTCCAGCTTATAGTCTGCTCTCCCTCACCCACATTTTGTGTCACTGCCAGTTCTGCTCTGTGACGGGGATCTCCCCGGCCTCACATTCCCTCCCACAGCAGGCCTGACTCCCTGTGGAAAACACCCTCTTGGCCTCCTCTCCATGTTCGAACCCTTGTGCCGCCTCCTCCCATCCTGCACATCGCTGTCAGCCTTTCTGCATCAGAACAGGAGGGTTGGCTGTCCCCGCCCTGTCGAAAGCACTCGGACCATCATCTCACGAGTGGACAGTGTCCAGCAGCGTTCCCAGACACTTGAGACAGAGCCCGTCCTGACCCCCTGTCCCTCTTCCAGCCCCCCAGAGCTGAGGCCGGCCACGCCGTCCTTCCTTCACCCTGTGAGTGCTGCGGAGCTGAGCCAGAGCCTGCCCTCCAGCCAGGTAAGGTGGTCCCACAGGCACCTTTGTTCCCCTCCTGCCTTCTCAGTCCAGGACACATAGGAGAAGTTCTGGGAATGCTGTTGGAATGAACTGCCTGGCAGTGAAGAAGATGGTGGAGGAAGGGCTTGTAGTTGGAAACGGGTGAAATGGAGGTCGGGAGGGCGACTGGGTGCAGAAGGCCAGGGGCCAGGAGCACTCTGCTCCCAGGCTCCGGAAGTCGGGGAGGCCCATGCAGTGGAGGGACATTCTTATAAGTGGTCTGAAGTCTGCTGGCAGAGTGTGTAATGTGTTTGGTTTCCCAGGTGCAGTGGCCTGATGGGCTGGCCTCCAACGATGCCTTCTGGGGGGCGCAGATGCTCTTGGAGTTTTCAGGGGGCAGCCTGGGCTGACCAGTGCCTCAGGAGATGGCCAGCACTCCAGAAGGAGCAAAGGCAGACTGCCTGGCTGTGAAAACATCAATTTGCAGATGTTTATGGCCAAAGAAGGAACTCCCGGAGTTCCTTGGGGCGGGGAGGTTCTCCTGAGATATGGTGAGGACTTTTTGCCCATGACTCCATTAGAATAGTTTGGTATTGAAGCCACTGTTTGAAAATGTTCATGAGATCAGAAGTCACAGGTGGGTTTGTCCCCACTTAGACTAGAGAGTTCAGCCCCTGGGACACAGTGTAAGAGAGTTGTCAGACCTTCGAGAGAGAGGAGAACGCTGCACTGTGGGCTCCCTCCACACCTGTCCCAGGCACAAGGGAAACTCCGCCCGGGTCTCTTTATTGTTGATGATGTTTTGGCGTTTCTGTTTGTGGGGACTTCTCTCTTGAGAACCAAGAGGCAACCCATTTGGCAATACCCTGGGTACTGTGGGATAAGGGACATTTTTATTTCAGGTTATAATGCATTGTATTTGCAGTAAAAAGGTTCAGTTCCATTGAATTAAAGTTTTCGTGTTTGAACTCCTCTCTCCTTATTTCACTTGCTATCTTTCCATGCCACAGTATACAGCCCTTTTAATCCTTGGCTAGTAATTCATACCTTGGGACATATGCGATTAGTACCCTCCATCGGAACCCTCCTGAGATACCTCACAGAGAGCTCTTTGGTTGAGCCTCCAGAATATTTTCCAAGTACCCTCTGGCAGCCCAGATTACTCACAGCCAGCCGGGGATGCCCTAGTTCTAGGCCATAGTTACTGTTATTAGCTATGGTGGTGACACTGAGCAAAGTTTCCCACTTCACAGAGAAATGGAGATGATGACAGGGACGCCTGCAGACATACACACACCCAAGGCTCACGTTCCTGTGTTCTCGCTGGGTAGCAGCTCTTCGGTATAGGCTCTGAGAAATTTCCAAGTTTGGAGGCCAGGATGGTCAGACCTGAAGGCCTCTGAAGGTCAGGGAATGAACTAGAAATGGTGCTCTTGTAACATGTTTACCAAATTGGCCCAGCCTTGATAAGGCCAGCCAGGCACAGAGGAAATTAAGATGCAGTATTTTATTGTTCAGAGTCCTGGTGTAGTCCCACTGTTAATGTGCTGGACTGCAATTGGTTTGAACCTCAAGGTTGGCAATTCAAGCTCACCATTTGCTCCTTGGAAACCCTATACAGGGTCGCTATGGGTCAGAACTGACTCCATGGCACCCAACAACAATAATTTTATTCTTCAGGAAAAAAAGTAGTTCACTTTCTGTGAAGGAGAGAGAATTCATACCTCCACTGAGTAAGGTGCTGCAACATGTGTAGGCTTGTAGAGCACAGTGCACAGGGAGGAGTGGTAAGAAGCTTCAGATCTGGCTTTCCCTACTATTCCAGTGTCGTGTAAAGCATTCCATGTTAATAAAAATACCCCCGGACACAGGTGGGAGTTGCTCTAGTGAACATGACGCTCTATCCCTGGAAGACCATATTGCGCTGCTGTTGTTAGGTGGTACAACCCAACCAAACACTGCCCCGTCCTGTACCACCCTCATGACATTGCTGTGTTAGAGTCCACTGCTGCTGCCACGGTGTCACTTCATCTTGTTGGGGCTCTTCCTCTTTTTCACTGACCTTCCTCCTCTTTTCCAAGCACCACATCCTTCTCCAGGGACTGGTCCCTGCCGATCATTTGTCCAATACAAGAGATGAAGTCTCATCGCCCTTATTTCTAAAGAGGATTTTGACTGTACTCACTCCAAGACCGATCATCTGCGCTCTTCCTTATTCATTGTCCAACTTTCATATGCATATGAGGTGACTGAACATACCATGGCTTGGGTCAGGTGAACCTTAGTAAGATTTTTCTGGAGATAATTTTTAAATGGCTTCCAGAAATTCAAGCCAGATTCAGAAGAGGACGTGGAATGCGGATATCACTGCTGATGTCGAATAGATCCTGGCTGAAAGCAGAAAATACCAGAAAGATAATTACCTGGGCTGTATTGACTATCAAAAGGTATTCGACTGTGTGGATCATAACAAACTATGGATGACATTGTGAAGAATCGGTATTCCAGAAAATGTCATTGTGCTCATGAGGAGCCTTTTCCTAGTCCAAGAGGCAGTTGTTGGAGCAGAACAAGGGGACACTGGGTGTTTAAAATCCGAGTGTGTGCTTTAGGGTTGTATCTTTGACCATGTCAGTCTGTATGCGAGCAAATCATCTGAAAAGCGGAATTAATTTTATAGTGGTGGTCACACCCTGTGGAGTCTGATGGGCTCCAAATCCCTAGTTTAGAACCCAGAAGACTCCACTTCAGAGTCATACCAACACAGGCACCGTTCTATACACTTGGATGACTCAGAACATCCACATTTCACATCTCTGGAAGAACTCTGTTGGCAATTTTCCCAAGCTTGATTCTGGTCAATTTTCCACCTAGTAGCAAATGGCACTGGTGACCACGTTCTTACTGTAGCCTGCTTTCTAGACGTCACCGTTGATTCTGTTTGCCTTGTGTGTCTGATCCATCAGCAATTTTTGGAAGCTAAGGATCCAAAGTCCTATCTTAGACAGTGTTGTACCTCATGACTGATCTGGATATGTTCTTTTTGACAGTGAATGCAACACAATTCCTATTCAATTAGTCATTCCTGGCATAGTAAACCATGTGGTTGTCAGATTCAAAATGGCCACTACCAGTCCATTTCAGTTCACTAATGCCTAAGAGATCGATGTTTATGCGTTGCATTTCATTTTTGACAATATCCAGTTTTCCTAGATTCATACTTGGTACATTCTATGTTCTGATTATTAATGGATGTTTACAGCTGTTTCTCTTCATTTTCAGTTGTGCCCCATCAGCAAATGAAGGTCCCATGGGCTTTCCTCCATTCACGTCATCACGGTCAACTCTATTTACTTTGAGGAGGCAGCTCTTCCCCAGTCACATTTTCAGTGCCTTCCAACCTGAAAGGCTCATTTTCCAGCACTGTATCTGGCAGTGTTTCTATGCTATTCATAAAGTTTTCAGTAACTAGATATTCTAAAGTAATTCATTACTCTTTCTTCCTAGTCTGTGTCTGGAAGCTCATCTGAAACCTGTCCACCATGGGTGACCCTGGTGGCATAGATTTCAGAATCACAGCAACCCCTCACAAGCCACCACAGTATGGCAAACTGACAGACGAGTATCACTGTTATTCACATTGATGCACCAACCACTAAAGCCAGTGAGGGTGAAATAGAAGAATTCTTCCAACTTCAATCTGAAGTTGATCAAACCTGCAATCAAGATGTAGTGATCATTATTGGTGATTGGAATGCAAAGGTTGGGAACAAAGAGGAACGGTCATTAGTTGGAAAATATGGCCTTGGTGATAGAAATGATGCTGGAGATCGCATGATAGAATTCTGCAAACTCAATGATTTGTTCATTTCATATACCTTCTTTAGATAACATAAGAGACGATTATACACATGGACCTCACCAGATGGAATACACAGATATCAAATTGACTACATCTGTGGGAAGAGACGATAGAAAAACTCCATATCAACAGCCAAAAAAAGGTCAGTGGCAGACTGTGGAACAGACCATCAATTACTCATAGGCAAATTCAAACTGAAGCTGAAGAAAATGAAAACAAGTCCATGAGAGCCAAAATATGACCTTGAATATATCCCACCTGAATTTAGACATCATCTGAAGAACAGATTTGATACATTTAAACACTAAAGACCGAAGACCAGAAGAGTTGTGGGATAACATCAAGAACATCATACAGGAAGAAAGCAAAAAGTCATTAAGAAGACAAGAAAGAAGGAAATGATCAAAACGGATGTCAGAAGAGACACCGAAACTTGCTTTCCAGCGTAGAGATGCTAAAGCCAATGGATGATATGAGGAGGGAGGTACAAGAGCTGAACGTAAAATTTCAAAGGTCAGCTTGAGAAGAGAAAGTCAAATATCACAAGGAAATATGCAAAGGTCTGGAGTCAGAAAACCAAAAGGGAAGAACATGCTCAGCATTTCTCAAGCCGGGGGAACTGAAGAAACAATGCAAGCCTCGAATTTTGTTATTGAAGGATTATCTGGGCAAATTATTGAATGATATAGAAAGTATCAAAAGAAGATGGAAGGAATACACAGAGTCACTGTACCAAAAGGAAATGGTTCATGTTCAACCGTTTCAAAGAGGTAGCATATGACCTCTTTGAACCGTTTCAAGAGTCAGTGAAACTGAGGGACAAAGTCCAAGGTGCATTCAAGGAACTGGCAAAGAACAAGGCACCAGGAATTGATGGAATACAACTTGAAATCGTTCCAAGAAAGTGAGGCGGCACAGGAGGCACTCACTCATCTATGCCAAGAAATTTGGAAGACAATTGTCTGGTCAACTCATTGGAAGAGATTCATATTTGTGCCCATTCCAAAGAGAGGTGATCCAACAGAATACGGAAATCATCAGACAATGTCTCTGCTATCCCATGCGAGTAAAGTTTTACTAAAGGTAATACAGAAACAGCTGCAAGCATACATTGACAGAGAACTCCCAGAGGTTCAAGCCAGATTCAGAAGAGGATGTGGAATGAGGGATATCATTGCTGATACCCAATGGATTTTGGCTGAAAGCAGAGAATATCAGATGTTTACCTGTGCTTTATTGACTATGCAAAGGCTTTCGATTGTGTGGATCATGACAATCTATGGACAACATTGCAAAGTATGAGTATTCCTGAGCATTTAATTGTGCTCATGAGGAATCTATACATGGACCAAGAGGCAGTTGTTCAAACAGAACATGGGAACACTGAATGGTTTAAAATTAGGAAAGGTGTGCGACAACTTTATGCTGAGCAAATAATCCAAGAAGCTGGGTTATATGAAGAAAAATGTGGCATCAGGATTGGTGGAAAACTCATTAACAACCTGTGATATGCAGATGATACAACCTTGCTTGCTGAAAGTGAAGAGGACTTAAAATACTGATGAAGATCAAAGAGCCCAGCCTTTGGTTTGGATTACATCTCAATATAAAGAAAACAAAAATCCTCACCACTGGACCAATAAACAACATTCTTATCAATGGAGAAAAGATTGCAATTGTCAAGGACTTCATTCTTCTTGGGTCAACTATCAACACTCACAGAAGCAGCAGTGAAGAGATCAGACGACGTATTGCATTGGGCAAATCTGCTGCACAGAAACTTCTAAAGTGTTGAAGAGCAGAGATGTTAGCTTGAGGACTAAGGTGCTCCTGACCCAGGCCATGGTGTTTTCAATAATCTCATATGCATGCAAAAGCTGGACAGTGAATAGAATTGATGCCTTTGAGTTATGGTGGTGGAGGAGAATATTGAACGTGCCATGGGCTGCCAAAAGAACCAACAGATCTGTGTTGGAAGAAGTACAGCCAGAGTGCTCCTTGGAGGCCAGGATGACCACACTTCATTTCTCAATCCTCAGACATATTGTCAGGAGGGACCAGTCGCTGGAGAAAGATACCATGTTTGGTAAGGTGGAAGGTCAGAGAACAAGAGGAAGACCCCCCAGCGAGATGGATTATTGTCAAAGTGGCAGCATCGATGGACTCAAGTGTGGCAAACAATTGTGAAGTTGGCCCAGGACCGGGAAGTGTTTGGTTCTGTTGTGCATAGGGTCACTGTGAGTCCACACCAACTCGATGGCACCTAACAACAACAACAGCAACACACAAGGATCCAGAGTAGACTGTGTGTTCTCCCTTTGGGTGTTCTAACTCCAGGTCGTTGCGCATTTCAGGCTGCCTGTTGAAATTTTCTGATCATCTCTTTGACTTCCTCATGTCTTCCATTCATTTTAGCATGTCTGTGCTGGACAGTAAATTTCCGAGTTTCTTCTGAAGTTCATTTTGGTATTTTCTTTCGTCCCTATCTTTTTAATTGATCCTTTGTTTGCTTTCTGTATAATGTTCTTGATGTAATCTACTGCTCTTCTGATCTTTGGTCATTAGTGTCTAATGCATCAAATCTGTTCTTGAAATTGTTTCTAAATTCAGAAGGCATAAGTTCAGCATCATACTTTGGTTCTCTTGGATGTGTTTTAATTATCTTCAGCTTCAGTTTGAAGGTGACCAATTGATGGTCTGTTCTACAGTCAGCCTGTGGTAGCTGAGAAAAGACTCATTTATAAACACTCGGGTTATTGGGACTACTTTCATCGCTAAGTGCTGTTGAGTTGAATCCTATTGGAAAGTGGTGTTATAGTCCATAGGGTTTTCATTGGCTAGTTTTCAAACATAGATCACCAGGACATTCTTCCTAGTCTTAGTGTAAAGCTCCACTGAAACCTATTCACCAGAATGACTCTGTTGGTATTTGCAATATCGGTGGCAAAGCTTCCAGCATTACAGCAGCATGCAGGCTCCCAAATAGAACAAAGTAACAAACAGGTGGTGACTTAGAGATGAAAACAGGCAAACAGAAAGCCCACTGCCATTGAGTCGATTCTGACTGCCAGTGGGAGGTCAAAGCAGAGCCGCACCCGAGGATTTCCAAAGGTGTAAACATTGAATGAAGCTGATTACCACATCTTTCTACCACTGAGTGGGCTAGTGGGTTCGAGCCATGGGCATTCCAGTTAACAAGCCCTCTCATAAAAACGGTTAGGGGTAGGGTTAGTGGGTTCGAGCCACGGGCATTCCAGTTAACAAGCCCTCTCATTTAAACGGTTAGGGGTAGGGTTAGTGGGTTCAGGCCGCTGGCATTCCAGTTAACAAGCCCTCTCATAAAAATGATTGCTGTTAGGTGCTGTTGAGTGGCCTCCAACTCACACTGACCCTATATAAGGTTTCCAAGGATGTCATTTTTCCTTACTTTTTTAATTTTTATTTATTCGATCTCTGCCTTACACAACATGGGAGAAAGATGAGGCTTTCTGTTCCCACCAAGACTTCCAGTCTTGGAAACCTTACACAGGGTCACAAAGTGTCAAAGCTGACTCAATGGCACTTAACAACGCCAACAACATTAGATGAAAACACCCATAATTGGCACAATGGTTTCAGATTGTTCTTCAGAACTTTTTTTTCCCATGGAAAAAGTCCATTACCTTTTTTTTTTTTTAAGCTTTTATTGTTAATTGAGTGATAGTTCACATGGGGGAACACTGGTTTTGCACTTATCCTACCGCATTTCGGTTCACTGCAATGATTACAATCCCCTCCATGCATGATCCTGGCATCACTGTAAATCTTTATGGGAGCAGAAAAACTCACTTTTTTTCAGTGGATCAACTTGTAAGTTTGAACTGTCCATTTTGTAGTTAGCAGTAAATTACCTGTCCACAAGAGAAGGCTCTTCAAGTATGAGGAACTGCAACACCGGTACTAAAACATTAGAACCACACGTTTAAACAGAAGATTCTCAAACTATAGGCAAAAACAAGACTCTACACAGACTAATAAAGGTTTGGTTCTTTTACAATTAATCAGCACATCCTAAGAAGGGTCTATTTAGATGAAGTGTCAGGATATTGATAACAGATGAGAGTTGGCCAAGAACTCATGGCCTTCCCACAGCCTCCTGCACAGATGCACTGCCTCTGCCTTGGCCGCCTCTGTCCATGCATGGGCGAGACCCCAGGGTTTCTCGTTTCCAGAGGAAAAGGCAACGCTGCATGTCTGTGGATATGAAGGGCAGGCTGCCTGCTGACGGGAGGACAGCCTAGAGCAGAGCTCACTGAGCAAGTGGGTTCCCATTGGGGGGCGGGGGCACTGGGCAGGGGCTGTGTTAGTTCCAAAAGGTCACAGCCAAAAGACTGTAAATCCAAAAACTTCACTGACTTGTCTCGCCACCACCCGCTCTGATCCAGAATGGTGACAATTAGCAACTTGCCACAGGGCCTACCCAGTGTTGCTCCTACATGCCATCTAAGCAAACATAATTGAGGTACAATAATTTCCTTTTTATGAATTGTATATCAGGGATGAGGCAGGAAAAGTCCAGGATGACCCTGGGACACTGCCAGAAAATAAAAACAAAGGAACAAAGCAGTGCAGGCCCCTACTTAAGGCAGCTTCTATTACTCAACCTGTGACAATCTGAGCAAGAGAAATAAAAACTCAATATTAAGATCCTTTATGGGAGTCCTGGTATGGTACTACAGGCTAAGCACTGGACCACAATGTCGGTTTGCTCTGAAAGCCTGGCAGTTCAAACCCATCAGCCACTCTTCAGAAACCCTATGCAGGGTTGCTAGGAGTCAGAACCTACTCAGTGCCACTTGACAACAACATAGTTATGTCAGTGGTGCTGATGGTGTGTTACTGTTAGCACTTTACAGTGGGAAGACGAGAAGAAAACGTAGTAAGCATGAAAACAAAAGCAAACAATCTTCGACCCAGATACAAGAGCAGGGCATTTTATTGCATGTAAACTAATATCAATAAAAACATTGTAAAACATGAAACTAAATATGCTCAAGGCCGCTTACTGCAGTCTCACCTGTAATGCCCCAAAACTGTTAAGAAGGTAAAATTTAGTGTGGACTGAGAAAAATAAACATTTGCCCAGCACTTCATAAAACTAGAGAAACAATACTCCTAAAGGGAGGGACACAGTTACCAAGAGACTGGTATTTCTCCTAAAGGCACAAAGCCGCTCTAATGACACCTTCTCTAAGTTTCTGTTGGTTTCTTATGGAGACACTTTTTTTCCAATCAGAGACTTTGAGAAATTACAGCACTCCGTATGAAACCACCCTTACTTAAGGCCCCGCTCCACCATGAATTCTCATGTGCTTAGTGAAGTGTGAAGCCCAACGAAAGGCTTTCCCACACTCCTTACATTCATAAGGCCGCTCTCCGTTGTGAATTCTCATATGTCTAGTGAGGATTGAGGAATGACAGAAGGCTTTTCCACACTCTTTACATTCATAAGGCCTCTCTCCACTGTGACTTCTTACATGCGTAGTGAGGTATGAGGACTGACTGAAGGCTTTCCCACATTCCTTACATTCATAAGGCCGCTCTCCACTGTGAGTTCTCATATGTCGAGTGAGGTGTGAGGAGTGATGAAAGGCTTTCTCACACTCCTTACATACATAAGGCTTCTTTCCACTGTGAGTACGCATATGTTTAGTGAAATTTGAGGACCAACTAAAGGCTTTCCCACATTCCTTACATTCATAGGGTCTCTCTCCACTGTGAGTTCTTACATGTGTTGTGAGGTGTGATGGCCAACTAAAGGCTTTCCCACACTCTTTACATTCATAAGGCCTGTCTCCACTGTGACTTCTTACATGCACAGTGAGGTCTGAGGAGTGACTAAAGGCTTTCCCACACTCCTTACATTCGTAAGGCCGCTCTCCACTGTGAGTACTCATGTGTTTCGTGAAGTTTGAGGACCAGCTAAAGGCTTTGCCACATTCCTTACATTCATACGGCTTCTCCCCACTGTGAGTTCTTACGTGTGTAGTGAGGTATGAGGACTGACGAAAGGCTTTCCCACACACCTTACATTCATAGGGTCTCTCTCCACTGTGAGTTCTAAGATGTCGAGTGAGGTGTGAGGAATAACGGAAGGCTCTGTCACATTCCTTACACACATAGGGCCTCTCTCCACTGTGAGTTCTCATGTGTCTAGTGAAGCTGGAAGAATGATGAAAGGCTTTCCCACACTCCTTACATTCATAAGGCCTCTCTCCACTGTGACTTCTCGTATGTGCAGTGAGGTGTGAGGACCTGTTAAAAGTTTTTCCACATTCCTTACATACATAAGGCCTCTCTCCACTGTGAATTCTCTTATGTATAGTGAGGTTTGAGGACTTATGAAAGGCTTTGCCACATTCCTTACATTCATAAGGCCTCTCTCCACTGTGACTTCTTACATGGATGGTGAGGTTTGAGGCATGCCGAAAGGCTTTCCCACATTCCTGGCATTCATAGGGTCTCTCTCCAGTAAGAGTTCTCACAGAAGTGCTGAGGTAAGAGGGCCAACTGCAGGCACATTCACATTCCTTACTCTGACAGACACTGTCCCCAAGGTGAGCTATGGCATGGCTCTTATGTGATGAATGGTCCGTCGAGGATTGTCCACACTCAAGGCATTCAGAAACATATGCTTCCAGAAGAGTTGTTTTGAGCACAGAAAGATGAGGCATCCAGCTGAAGGCCTGTCCGCATCGACTGTCTTCAGTACTTTCACAGAGATTTTCTACCATAGGGCTTCTGCTAAAAATAGGCAGCATACAGGTGCATGTCAATATTTTACTATGTCACCACTAACAAGACACAGTAAACATGTATTTCTTATAGCTCATAGATGAAATCATCTGACAGAATGCTACTGTTATTTTCCCTCTATTTCTAAAATATGGGGCTTTCTGGTAACTGTATATAAGTGACATATGCTTCAAATATTCATTATGTGACTCACATTAAGGAAACGTGTGTGAAAACACAACACTAGAGCTGGTTTTATATACAGGTAATGGCTCGTGCTCCCTAACCCCACCCCCTAGGGGCGCTGTCATGCACCAACATGGATCCAAGAACAATAGATCTAGATACACTCGGCTTCAGTGCTCCTACACATACATGTACCATGGGGCTCCCTAACCCCACCCCCTAGGGGCACTGTCATACACCAACATGGATCCAAGAACAATAGATCTAGATACACGCGGCTTCAGTGCTCCTACACATACATGTACCATGGGGTTTCCAAAAGTTCTTGGACAGATGCTATTGTCTTCTCACTAATTGTTGAAGCCTCCTGGTATATAAATATGTGGATACCAGGTTGTTTTCGAAGACTCTCTTGTGTGAATAACACACACCTGACTTGTGTGCTCTCGTCCAGACCTCCAACAGCATGCAATCCACAGATGTCTCCCACCATGGAGGCCCATGTGTCGTTTTTCATGAATCGTACTATGAGGCTTTCAGTGGATCGTCTTCGTCCATCATTCAGGTTTCCAGAAACTGACCGAGTGATTTTTGGTAAGGTTCACAATAAGAAACAAAAAGGTAAAGCATTACTCGAGGAAACGGCAGCTGTGAGAAAGGAAAGACTCGGTCACACTTTGTTGTTTCAGTACTTTGGCAATGGTCAAAAAGCCACTTACTAGCAAATACTTCCAAGAAGATGACGACAGTGATAAACAGGGTGAATAAGAAGACCAAAGTAAAGAGGCCCTGGACACAGGCACGTGGACTATTCAAAGAGAAAATGGGGGTGATCTTTCTCCGTGAATACAGACGTGTTAGGGTCAGTGAAAGTCAGGAAAAAACAAAGCACGCTCAGCTATCTGGGAAGTACATACACCTCAACCCAGAAGAGACTTTTTCTAACTCCCTCCACACAGGCCACGGTCTTCCGAGAGTCCTTGCTTTCTGGTGCCCCGACACAGTGGTCTTGGAGGAATGCTATCTGCACACTCCTTGGTCCTCCTCTTGATACTCTGGGCAAACAAAGGGTGTAGCTGGCATGATGCTCACGGAGAAAGGCGTTCATGAGGGAAGAGAAGAAAAGGCAGCGAACGCGTCCCTGACGCTGAGCCAAGACTTTGGTCTTGAGGGGGGCTCTGGAGCATGGGCGGGTGTCAATTTATTTGTAATAAAATGATCAAACTTGTAATAAATACACTTTACAAGGCTCAGATCATAAATATTCTTTCTGTGACCAATGAAATTGCTAAAGTCAATGCTCACTGACAACATTCAAAGAACCACAGTTTTAATCACAATTGAAATGAGCAATCCGTCTAACACACAGTGCTCTGCAGTCATGGGGAAGGCAGGACATGAGTACTCAGGAGAGCAAATGACCACTGTTTTCCCAGGAAAGAATGTATTCCCACATACCACAGTAACATCCATGAGGATGATATATTTGGTCACTATAGAATACACTGTTTTACATGAAGCATCCATACCTACTGAGGCCAGGTTTCTGAAGGTTTCCATCATCACATCTCTGTAGAGTTTCCTCTGAGGAAGATCCAGTAACGCCCACTCGTCCTGGGTAAAGTCCACAGCCACATCCTCAACAGCCACAGCGTCCTACAACACCCCACACATTCTGGATCAGCAAGGGACCGTGGACTCCTCCAGTGTGTGTGACAGAAGGGTGAGGCCGACGGTGCTGGGGACTCGTGGGTATTTGTCACAGAGGTCTGTGTTTCACTAAGGCCTGTTCTACAGAGTACTGGTGTAACACTGTAGGACAAGCACTGGACTGCTAACTGCCAAGTTGGCAGTTCAATGCCACCAGTCTCTCCCCAGAAAGCCTACGCAGGGTGGCTATATAAGTTGGAATCGACTCAACAGTACTGAACAGCCAACAGCCACTCTAGGGTTAGTCACCAGCTTGATCCCTTCACTGCCTACATTCGCTTCCTCACTGACAGCATCCTGCCTCAGACTTAATAGTATTCAACCAACTTATATCTGTGATTAATTCCAATCTTATTTCTCTGTATCCTTATGGATTAGAACAGTCAGAACACATAGCATATATTAGAGAAAGTCTTATTTTCACATTCAGATCATCTCTTCCTTGTGAAAAAAAAAGCTTAGCTCCTTACACGAGCCCAATCAGAATAAAGACTAAAACAGGAAGCACAGGGTTAACACAGGATGAGCTATTTACCCCTTTTGCCTCCACCAGCCGTGGGAAGCCCACTGACCTGCACACACTTAACTGGCAACAGTGACCAGGAGCTGACAGGGCGACCTGGGAAAGAGAGTATTATTTTTGGGAATTACAGTTTTTACATGTCTGTCACCTACTTTTCAACAACCCTATAGCTGCTCTGTCATGCACAGTGTCCCTTTCTGGAGACAGGCATGAGTCTGAAAAGGTAAGCAGAGCTCAGGTGAAAGACAGGAAGGAAAATTCAGATAGCATCACAATTTGCAAACTTTGATACCAGAGCTACTATACAGCAACTGCGCGTCTCAGTAATGCCCAGATCTGGAAACAAACAAATGCTAATATTATATGACGACAAAGAGCCCAATTGCTGACGAATCCCAACAGCCCTTGTATTTGCTGACTGTGGAGAGGTTAGAGTCCAAATTTTCCAGTAAGTGCAATGAAGTGCTGATGGTTCCAATGCACCCAGAGGTCCCTCAGAACAAAGTCCTGGCAATCTGTTCTGAGAGGTCACAGCCTGAAAAACCCTATGGCGCAGTTCTACTCTGACTTGAAGCTGATTCCATGGCAATTAACAGTAACAACGTACTATCTGTGCTGTGAGAATTCCATGGCCAAAGCAACACAGGAAGTAGGTAAGACGTCATACACGCATATTTATCTTCAGCACCGGAAAAGCAAAACAATCATTTTAGGAAACCCTAGCAGTGAAACCTGGCTTAGTAAGAAACTAAAAGCCGACATATTAATTTTAAAATGTGTGAGCGTTTAGTAATGATTTCACAAGCACTGGACGAGGACTACAGCTCCGGACACAGAGGCTCTGGGGTCAAAGCTGGGAAAGGGAAGAGGCACTGGTTAGGCCCAAAATGAAAAGCCATTAGCATCGGGCAGATGAGTGGGACCTGGTCAGGGATGGGAGCGGGTGGAAGCCCTTGGTCTGGGGACCGTGCTGACTTCTGGGAAGTCTCCAGCTTCTAAACTTTGTGACATGCAAGCTTATGCCTGTGGTCAGAGGCAGAAAATTCTACGGCCGCTCTTATTGTTGTGCCATTGAAGTTGATTCTGACTCAGCGACCCTGTACAGGATTTCTAAGACTGGTTGGTGAACTTGAACCTCTGACCTTGAGGTTCAAGCGGCCCTTGCAGTCCAGTGCATTAACACACAGCGCCACATCAGGAGTCCTATCATGACAGCTCACAGTGTGTGAGGGACAAATGTGCAAGCTGGAGATGAGAAGGCCGTGGCTGTAGTCAGATAGAGTGCTGAGGACGAGCACGTACAAAATGGATACCACTGGCTATATGTGCCACGCTGTCCACAGTTCTCTAGTAAAAGCAGGCAGACCGACCCACAAGGATGCCCATGATTCGATTCCTAGAATGTTATCCAAGAGGGTGTAGCTGTTACATAGCCAAGAAAAAAGGTAAAGAGGTTAGATTGCTACTAAAGATTACAAAACATCTCCCTATAGTTTTAGCTCAAATAATTTTAACTATAGAATCTAGAAAAATGCTAGAGATTGTTTTGGAGCTGAGAGTATTAAGATTGTACATCAAGGCTTATTTGAAATATTTCTTTTATGTACGCTAGTACCAAGCAGTTGAGAAATTAATCTGAAAGCTATGACATATATTTTCAGTAGTATTAAAAGGTACCAAAAAGGAGTGTAACTAAGCACAGAACTGCTAACCACAAGGTTGGCGGTTCAAACCCACCAGCTGTCCTTGGAAACCCTATACAGGGTTTCTATATGTCAGAACCAATTACAGCGAGGAAATTATAAAACTTTTAGATGATATCCAAATAGATGAAATGATAGTACATGCTCTTAGATCATTATTTCTAATAAAATTCCATAAAATTCTAATTTTATTTTTTTAAAAGATTCTTCAAAAATGTATATATAATTGCAATTGTCCACAAATAGCCCAGATAGTCTAAGGAATAAAGCATGGACTTGTCCACATATAGCTCACTGTGCCTGAACTGGTTCCAATTCAAAGCAACCGTACAGGACACAGGGTGGACACAGTGACCCTAGAGGGCACGGGACAAGTGCTCCATAGGGTTTCTGAGCCTGTAAATCTTTACAGAAGCAGATAGCCTCAACTTTCTCCCACAGAGTGGTTGGAGGGTTTGAACTGCTGACCTCGCAGTTAGCAGTTCAACACTTAACCCATCGTGTCACCAGGGCTCCTTCGTTAACATGTTGTTAAGTGCCGTCAAGTTTATTCTGAATCACAGTGACCGCGAATGGGGTTTCTGAAGAGTGGTTGGTGGGTTTGAAACGTTACCCTACTATTATTCTACATGTCACACACCAGGACTCCTTGTTTACATTTGTTGTTCTTGTAAAGTGCCATTAAGTTGGGTCCAACTCATAGTGACCTGAATAAGGTTTCCAAGCAGCAGCTGGACAGTTTGAATGCCAGCCTTGCGATCAGCAATCCTGTGCTTATCGTACAGTGCAACCCCAGAACTCCCTGGTCACATGTATCACATGTAAGACTATGGTAAGAGATTCTTATTTTACAAGTGGAGCTTTGATATATTAGACAATAAAGTGTCATTATGTTGTTGTTAAGTACCGTGGAATCGGTTCCAACTCAGCAACTCTGTATGAGGGCTCCAAGGAGCGGCTGGTGGGTTTGAACTGCTGACCTGGCAGTTCACTTTACCCTAGAGTGCTATGTTGCTGTTGTTTAGTGCCGTTGAGTCCATTCTGACTCACAGCGACCCTGTAATAGGGTTTCCAAGGAGCGGCTGGTGGGTTTGAACCACCAACCTTGTGGCTCAAACCGACCTTGTCATCCAGTGCTTTATCTCACAGCATCACCCCAGGGCCCCATGAAAGATTTGTATAATCAGCCAAGTCAGTTCTGATTCACAGCGACCTTGTATAGGGTTTTCGAGGAGTTGCTGTAGGTTTGAACTGCTGACCTTGTGGTTTGCAGTCCACAGGAATACATAAAAGACCAAGAGAAAGCAGCAGCTCCAGAAGCAGCCCGGCAGGCTCTCTGGAAAGTTGGTTCCCGACACAGCAAGTTCACACTGACTCTGTGGGTCCCTAACTGAAGTCCCTAATTCCTGTAAACAATAAAATGCTCAGCTAGGACAGGAAAGCTTGGAGGTGGAAAGCAAGATACAGGTACCTTGGAAGAAAGATCTCGTGATCTACTTCCAAACACTCAGCCATTAAAAACCCTATGGAGTGGAGCTTTACTCTGAAATACATGGGGCTTCTATACGGAATCAAGAAGAAGGTAAAAGGATTGTTTATTGAATTGGAAGCGCCTGTTCGAATGCAAAAATCAATTCCAAGTAGATCAGCTTTAATTATGAGAATGAAAATTAAAATACTTCCAGAAGTTATCAGCAAATGACATCAGACTAGAGAAAAAAAAATCTTAAATAAGAAAATTAAAACTTAAGGGAGAAGACTGATAAATTCAAATATTAAAAGTCAGTTTATCAAAGGGCAACAAAACGGAATGAGAAGATGCTACACATGAGGGGGAATGTTTCCAAAGTTTATAAAAGTCATGCTGCTGTTGATTAGGGCCATGGAGTTGGTTCCAACTCACAGTGACCCTGTATAGGGTTTCCGAGGAGCACCTGGTGGATTTGAACTGCCAACCCTGAGGTTCAAGTTGACCTTACAGCCCAGTGTTTATCCTACAGTGCCACACCAGGACTCCAAAACATAATAGAAATATAAATTAACAGTGGGAAAATATGCAAAGCCTGTTCAGTAGTGTACTTTAAGGGACCTGAAAGATAAAATCAAAGGAAAATATCATTTTATATACTGATTATATAAATAGATTGTTCCCTAGTTGATTCCAACTTATAGCAACCCTGTATAGGGCTTCAGAGGAGCGACTGGTGGGTTTGAACCACCAACCTTGCAGTTCAATGAACCTTGTGGTCCAGTGCTTGCTTATCCTACAGTGCCACACCAGGACTCCATACACTGATTATAAGAACAAAAATGACTTCATTAGATAAGCAGATGGAATAAAATATCCATGCATATTTGTAGGAGGGAAAATCTGTACAATGTATTGGCTCTTTTAGTAAGTTTGAACTTGGTAATGATGTGCAACTGAACGGTTCCCGCTGACCACAGAGCACTTGGACTTTAGAAGGGACTGAGAATAAGAGCAGTAATAGTCCCAAGAGCCAAAGTTACACCTGAACACCCCCCAGTCTGTAGGCTCTAAGATAGGCGGGTACATTCTGGACCATTCGTGCATTAGGAGCACGCTTACACAGCCACATGGGAAGGCCAAGGCTATGATCAATCACTATAATGTATAAAACTCAAAAGTAACCTGAAGAAAATCACCAAAGAACCCAGACACGGTTTGTAGTGAAATTTACAGAAAGCTCCAAAGAGAT